TATGTACAGCTGCTGCATGCAGAACTGTTTTGCCTATTTTAAACTCGAATTCATGCCTTGATCATAAACAAGAAATAAACTATACTCAATTATATAGCTAAGGAAATTGGACTCACCTCATTTGGATTTTTCTACGATTTTATACAAATTTTCAAAGTCTGCACACTTTCAATGCATTCAAAAGTCGAAATTCTTATTTTCATACATTTTTCTCAAACCATTTCGATTCCAAACTATTCCAACTTCTGAATCTCAACTTAATATAACATATTTGACATAAAAACCAAAATCCAACCTTTATTTTATCATTTATATTATCTCCCAAATCATTGACTTAATCAAGTCAAAGTTCATATGATGAACTTGCATAAATCTTGATAATCTCTTGAATCTAATGACCATTTCATGGCATAAACACTAAAATGCACTCATTTTATGCACTTAAGATCAAACCTATATGAAACCCTAACTCTAACTCAACATGCAATCCATMTAACAAGAATGTCAACCAAGAACAAGTGCAAAGAATGGATTATACCTTACTTGATGATCAAATCCTTCAAAGATCTTGTAGTACTTCTTTGATTTGAGTTGAACCAAGCCTATGTGTGTGAAAATTGCACCTCTAGTGTGTGTGTGAGTTCTGGACTTAGATGACATGAAAAATGGGCCAAAACTACAATTTATAATACTAAAACTCGAGTTGGGCCGGTTTGGCCCGGTTAGGTACCCATTTTGACCATCAACACTTAAATTATTCATAACTTTTCGCTCGGACCTCCGTTTTCTATGAGGTTTTCGCCTACACATTCATAAAGAGATAATATATAACATCCAACATAAATATTCCAGAAAAGATCTCCCAAAAAAAATCCGTTTTACGTATCTATTTGACGTGATATTTTCCAAATCCTCTAATATATTCTTAAGAAATATAATTCTAAAACTTTAGACCCAAACTCCCATTAGATCATAAGTTCTCTTTAACCCAATAATTAAATATACTAAGCAAATAATTGGGCATATTAGAAATTGGATGTTACAGATAGAGGGAAGAGTATCTTCTTGGGTACGATCTTTAAGGCCAAGATGCTTGGATATGAGATTCAGAGGTCTCTACTGAGAAGAAGAACTACTAAGCTATTTATACCCATTGCATTAAATGCAAGTCAGAAGGTACGAAAGCACGTAGCAAGCTTTAAGAGGTAAACTTGTCCTTTGTTGCAGATATACAGTCTTTTGGCCGTATATGAACATTCGTCTTTCATAAAGCAGGTAATCACGCTTGAAGACAATAGAGTGACTCCGTACAATACTTTACTTTGAAATGTATGGGTTTGTCCTTTATGTGCAGAAGGACAAGACAATGTTCAACAAGATTCATTTGATCCCTGACACTGGAAAGATGTTGGCTGTTTCATCAGTGGTAGCTGAATCTTGTGTAGATTTCACACTTGTGTAGACGAGCTTGTTATCACTTAAAACCACTTTAGATCACGAACTTGTTGATCTCTATCTTCGATATCCATAAAGGATCTGTGGTGTGATTTTTTGTCTTCCTGAAGGATACTGGTCTCTGAAAGAATTACAATACATGTTCAACGATCACTAAACAGACTCAGTGATGATCACTGAAGTTGAATACATAGATAGTACACTTCGTCAGGTTAAAGGGATCATCATCAAATCACTGAGAGAGAGGATCAACATCTCCCCCTATTTGATGTTCGTTCTTGTGGGATGGTCCATATTCAGGTTCAGAAAGATTCTTTGGTAGAGGAGGAACCTTGATGATCTTCGACACCTTGTTGAATAATTCATTCAGAATTTCTTCAATATAAGGCTTGTGCTTGGATTTGGATTTTTGGATAGTTTGTCGAGTCTTGAGCCATTCGTAGAAGCCATACTGACTGAGGAAGAAGGGACACTTAGTGATAACATCTTTGTTCTCTCGGTATATGACCCTTGAAATGAGTTGTGCACCATCTTTCACACGACCAAGGATAGTGATATTTGAAATTATGTGTGGGTTCATTCTCTTTTCGATCCTTTCTTTGTACCAGTTAAGGTCACGATCCTTCAGCTTCAGTACTCATTGACATTCACGTTTAGCTTATGCAAAAAGTTGCGCTTGAGCACTGAGCGAATCTTTCCTCTTCAATTTTTCTTCTGAAGTGCCTGATTAGCTAGAGCCTTGGCTAACTCCAAGCTGTCTTTGAGTTGTAGATAATGTTTCTTCATCTCTTGTTCAGCACAGAGGGATTCTTCATGTTCAGCTTCTGAAAGGAAATCAAACATACCACATCCAGAGGTACGAAGAGAAATTTTTACTCTGGATTGGTCGAGCTGACGTACTAGCTGAGCCGTCCTTTACTCTTGTTCAACTTCTGAATACTCAGGTTGTCTCGAACACTTCCTGGTATTATATTGTTGGCTTCATCATCATCTTCATCGTCCTCTAGGGTTTCAAAAGATGGGAGATGGTTTGAGAGACCAGGAGGGTTTGTTGCAGAGAGATAGAGAGATGGGGGTAGAAGTTTCAGTTTTTGAGGAATGAGGTACAAACCTTGAGGTGAATGCATCCTCAGATGGACTGACTGCCTGAAGAACTAGGGCAAGGTTGTCTTCAGCCACTCATTTGTCTTTTCCAGTGGAGTACTGGTTCCCTGATAATTTCTCCCTCTAGGAAGCAGGCTTCCTGAAGAATATTCCTTTTGCTGGTTGTCTTGGAATGACATGGATGCATAAATCATCATCATCTTCATCATCATCGTCATCGTCACCACCAAGATTAGTTCTTGCATCTGGAAGTTGAGGTTCAGAATCCTCATCATCATCATCATCATCATCATCATCTTTATCACCAGCATTTGGCAATATAGAGGTGGGAGGATGAAAGTTTTCATGGTCAACAACAACAATAGAAGTAGTAACCATGGCATCATCATCACTGATGGCATCATCATCATTGATGGCTTCAAGGTTAGGTTCTCTGGCATCTTTAGCAGAAGGAATCAAAGCATCTGCTGGAGTGTAATAACCTGGTTATTAATATTTTAGTGATATATATATATATATATATATGATATGTATATATGTTTAATATGTGTGTGTAGCATTATTTTAAGGAGAGGTCGGCTAAGTAAGCCGCCCATCATCTCCTTTTTCTTTATGTTGATATAAAAAGCTTTTTGTGAAGAAAAAGGGGACATTCACTTTTGTTATTGTTGAAAGTTTCTCTGAGAATTTGACGAAAACGCACAAGAAGAAGAAGAAGGTTTCAAAAGGTTTTGATTCTCAACTTCTAAAAGGTGAGTGTATTAAGAACTTTAGATATGAATTGCTTACATACAGTTTGATAAGCATTTGGAACTGGTTATTGTGAGTTTGGTTGCATTTTATGCTGATTCTTGAGTAATCCGGCTAAGAGGTATCCGGATTGTAATCCGGATACTTAAACCGGTTGTGCTTTGTCTGGATATCTTTTAAACCGGACAAGAGGTGACCGGATATCGTCTAAACCGGCCAAGTGTTGTGCGGTGTATTGACCGAATTATTTTAAACCGATCAAAGGTTGAATTGTGTATTGTCCGATTTAATCTAAACCGGATGACAAAGAAAGTGAATTGGTGTCCGAATTTCTAAACCGGACAAAGATGATTATATTTTCAAGTGTTTATAATGACCGGATTGCTAAACCGGACAAAGAGTTGGTTTATTTTCAAAGTATGTTGTCCGGACTTCTAATCCGGACAAGTCTGACCGGACTTCATATCCGGATAAAATGAGAATGTTTTTGAGAAATGTTTTTTGAAATGATATGAGCAGTGTAAACTGCGAGAGTGATATGAGCAGTTCAAAAATGTTTTTGAAATGATATGAGCAGTGTAAACTGCGAGAGTGATATGAGCAGCGTAAACTGCGAGAGTGATATAGGCGGTGTAACCGCAAGAGTGATATGAGTAGTGTAAAC